TTCTGTTGACTTTAAAAAACAAAACAAAACAGAGGTTTGTACCTATGTTGTTTATTTATTATTTCTTGCCTATATCTTGTAATATGAGAAACTACTTTGGCAGTAACAATATGCAATGTACTAAGCATTTTTACTCTCCTAAAATCTTGTTTTGAGATTTTGTACCATTGTTTTTATTTTTTTTCTTTGAAATAAAAACAACTGATGTAAAAAAAATAAAATAATAAAAAACAAACAAAAACAAAGAACTACTATTATTAATGCAGCCTAAGCCTGTTCAGGTCATTTTCTATGCATGTATACCAAATGTACTTTTTCCTAAACTTTTTTTTTCATCCTGTGTCTTACGAAGAGTTATTGAAAATTTTCATGTCACTGAACATTTATTAACTATATAATTTTGAACACTGGCCCAGTGTTTTACATGTATACTTCCATCTGTTAAATACTCCTAATTATTATGAAGACGGCAGTTGTTCCAACTTCTTTTCTGTTAGAAGCAAAGCAACAAATATTCCTGCAACTAAAGTTTTATACACGTTTACATATGTAGAAATAAATCACTGCAAGAGAGAAGCAGAAGGCAAATGAAGGAAAAGAAAAATAGAATCATCGCTTCATTTAATGAATAGCAAGATTTTGGCAGAAGGGAAGAGGCTGGCAAAGAAGAGGCAATTTCCAAGCTCCTAGATGAAGGCAACTCCAGGATAATGTAGCTACTCCAAGAATGCATGTATAGAAGCTAGCAATGGTGGTGCACGCCTGTATTTTCAGCACTTGACAGGCTGAGCCAGGAGGATCATCGTGAGTTCATGGCCAGTCTGAACTATATACTGAGTTTAAGGCTAGCTTAAACTCAGCAAGACTGAACTTGGTGGCCCTCCTGTTTTCAGTCTCTCCAAGTGCTGGAATTACAGGCGTGCACCACCACTCTAGGACGACTCTGTCTTAAGAAATAGAAAGACTCTGTCTTAAGAAATAGAAAGCAGGGCCAGAGAGATAGCTCAGTGGACTAAGCAAGACTCTGTCTTAAGAAATAGAAAGCAGGGCCAGAGAGATAGCTCAGTAGACTAAGCGCCTGCTTAGGCAAGTGCAGGGACCAGAGTTAGATCCTGGGTACCACATACTGTTCCAGCCCCGTCCCCAGGTGCGCTGAGCTGGCAACCGAGTCCTAGAGTGGTGGTGCACGCCTGTAATTCCAGCACTTGGAGAGACTGAAAACAGGAGGGCCACCGAGTTCAAATTGTGTAGTGAGACCCTGTACCAAATACATTAAAAAAAAGAAAGAAAGAAGAAAACAAAAAGTAGTAACAAAAAGAATACATGTGCAGTCTTGGTCCTTACTCCCAGCCCCTCTAAGCAACAAAAATATTTCCACAACGGTTTAAATGAGTGAGCTTTAAAGAACGAATGATCTGTGACAAAACAAGAACTCTTAGTTTGTGCCAAAGAGACAGGGAAGAGAAATCCACTGCCCAACATGGTTGAGCAACTGTACAAAAACTAAGCAACATCAGCATCAAGGAGGCAGAGCTCGGCGGAGGGGAAAGTTCATTTGGCTTGACAAATTCCATGTTTGCATTTCAGAGAGATCCTGAATCAGTAACACAACTTACTTTCTTTGAAGATATTATTCCAGATAAAGTATTTCAACTTAAGCTCAATTCTTTGCTTTTAAAGCTGACTCAATTACCCTGGGTTTCATTATAGTTTAATCTTGCTTCTTTTTCCTCCCTCCTGCTAGTCTTCCTGACATTTCTCTTTCCTAGACACTGAGGTATGGCCTGGAGAAGAGATGTGCTTAGATCAGTAATTTCTGTTATTCTTGACAGCAACATGGAAGATAAATGTCACGCAAAAATGGAACTAAAGACAAATTAATCCTGATAGCTGAAGGGAATAAAAACAGTAACAAAAATTAGGTGAAATGATAGATATTTAAGAAACAGAATTTTTTTTTTTAGTTCATGAAAGCTAAAAAACAATGTTCTGGTAGTTAAAGCAGAGGACTAAGATTCAGATTTTGGTTTTTTGGCTCCAGTTTTGTCAACTGAGTTTATGGAATATCCTTGGGCTCATGATGATTTCTCACTTAAATCTTAAAATCTGAGGTTCAGTATGAAGTTACCTCAGAAATTCCTTCAATGGATCTCATCTTTGACAAAAGACACTAAAAGACCTTTTAGTGGAATATTTCCTTCAAACAAAACAAACTTCATCTGTTTTATTTCACTATTAATCTGCTTACTATGTTTTATAATTGATAATTTTTGAATCCATGTAGATTATCAATTACTACAACAGAACTTTAAAATATAAGATATTACATTGTATTAGAATGGTGAAAATAAGATTTTTAGAAGAGAAGCCAAGCTTTGGCTCAGTCTCTTCTCAATAAACCTAGTGTTGAATAAATACAAATGTTATGGGCTCATATTTTATTTGGTATCTTGTCACTTTCACCGAGTTCTACAAAAGGCACATTCACAGTAGTATTTAGCAAAACAACACTACCTTCAATGTTAGTAAATGGCAACGTATGTTAGTAAATTAATGAACTTACATAAGGAGATGGTGACAATTTAAACAATTATTATTTTCAATACTGAGAAAGAATATGAACTGTTTCACAATAAAGGAAGTAAAAGACAGAAGGGAAATCTCATAACCACTCTAAGTTCTTTTCTGGCTTGGTCTTGGGAAAATTTAAACATAAAACTTCTTACCTTTTCCTGGGCCAACCATTTTTCTAGTACAAGAAGCCAGAGCCAAGATAATCTTTGGGGGCTGATGTCCTGCCTACACCTGAAAACGGTAAAGAGAAAGGAGTTTCTTACAGATATTTTTTCTTTTGTGGTCTAAAACTAAGAACTGACTTCTAGTCTAATTTAAATCGGAATACGCAAATGTTATGAAATTTTCAATTGCATTTTATAGTTCAGTAAAATATGAGAACCAGAACAGATCTGCAGCTCTCATTAAAAAAAAAAAAGTCTCAATGCCACCTCCATTCTCTTTCTCTTTTTTTTTTTTTTTTTCAGGTGTCTTGCTCTGTTACTTAGATTACTTGGAACTCCTGCATTCAGGCAACCTTTTTGCCTCAGCCTTCTGAGAAGCTGGCACTTCAGACACACGCCTCTGTGCCTGGTTTAGTCCTTTTTTTAAACATGATACTACAAAGAAAATCACAGTAGCTAATGCTGTCAAAATTATATTCTTGAACACAAGAGAATAAATCAAATACAAAAGAAAAAGGAGGGGCTGGTGAGATGGCTCAGTGGTCTAAAGCACCTACTTAGAACAAGCTAAGCTAAGCTAAGCAAAGCACAGAGACCGCGGTTCAATCCCCCAGCACCACATGCCAGCCAGCCCCGCCCCCTGGTGGGCTGAGCTGGCCACACACACACACACA